TAGATTTGAAGATTAGCTTTACCCAAATGAACCTATATGTCCATTACCATTCTAACCAAAATTCTATACATAGTTTCATTAACCTTGAAAACTAATGTCAAAATTTGCAAGAAAGAACAAAGTAGGGAAATAACTAATATGCTTTTGAGGGAGGATAAGTTGAAGTGTTTAATTTTACCAGCTATCAAGATATATTATGAGCCCATAGGTAAGTAAGATAATGTAGGAGAGGTAAAGATAGACACTTATGGCAGCAGAAGATAGTATTAAGTCCAGAAAAAGAAGCGTACATTTCTGTTAAACTTGAATGCAGCAGCAATGWAGAGTATTAGGGAAAAGAAAGAAAATGAATTTTCCATATAAAAATTATGGAATGGATATAGTAACAAATGAATGCTGGGTAAAGTATAACTATTAAAAACAAACTTTAAAACTTGGGTATATATCCAAYTAGTGATGTGTTTTTTAAGATTTATAAGAAATATAAATATGGACAAATTGGACCAAAATAAAAGTTAAAAATCTGCTCAAAAAAAAAAAAAAAAGTAAAACTAAAAGACAAGGCACAGCCCAAGACTCTGAGGTCCCCTTTGCTGATGGATTTCTGGAAATCATTCTCTCTGTCCAGCTCCCTCCTCTCTGGGGTTTTGGCTAGCTGCCTTGATTTCCTTGAACTCCAAATTTTGTCTCCTCAACTTCAGACTGAGCCTGGCTTTCTGTGGGTTCCTCTTCCCTGTACTAGGTTTTGGAAATCCACCTGGGCAGTAAACTGGGCAATCTCAGAGGATGGCTCACTTCATTTTCTTCCTTCAGGACCACCGTCCTTTACTACCTTGAACTTGCTTTACATATTTTGCTTGGTTTTCTAGTTATTGAAGATGGGAGTGTAAATCGGGTCCCTATTATTCCACGATGGCTGGAAGCAGAAGTAGTTCTGCTATCATTTTTATAGGATTTATGGAAAAACTATGAAGCGACAGAATTAAAAATGTGCACAGGAAAGATAAACAAATTTGGGAGACCAGTTACTTAAAGGGAGTGAGAAGAAAGGACTACTCTGAGATTGAGATGCTTTAGGAGAAAGAATGGCAAATTTTAGAATCTTTTTAAAATTGGCAATAACTACATGGATGTTAATTATGGTATTCTATGTGCTTACATGCATGAAGCATTTTATAATAAAAGTGAAAGGGTAGATAAAGGGCGACTAGGAATAKTACTTAAGGGAACATCCTCGAAAGGCCAGCTCCTGTAGGCCAAAGGCGCTCCTGGGAGGAGGAGGGGTGGTCAAAGAGCAGCAAACCGAGACAGCCRCCCCTTGCCTCTCCTCTGGATGTCAGGAAGGCCCGGGACTCCCCTGCTGGTGCTTTCCTCTGGTACTTTCAACCCCTGGTTGACATTCCTCTGATGAAACCCTTCAAAACCCCAACTTCCACAAACACTACCAGTACTACTACTATCACACCGTGCTGAGTCACGGGCCCTGCCCACTGGGTCACTACTCCCTCGTTCTTAAAGACCTGAACTTTTAGGTCACTCTCCCTCTCTTGATCACCCACATAGATGACCTTTCTTTGACCCCGTCTTAGTTCTTGCCCTACTTTCTTGCAAAGATCATTGCTTGCTTAGATGTTTGCAGTTAGCCCCCCCTTTTCTGTTTTTCTATAACAGAAAAAAAAAAAATCTGATTCTGCTGCCACTTGATAAAGCCAGAGAGACTCAAGAGGTGATGGGAAAGGAAAGAACTTTATTCAAATAGTGTCCAAAGAATAGAGAAGCAGGAGCTGTGCTTGCAAATCAACTTCTCAACTCCAAGGAGTTGAAGGGTTACAGATACAGGTCAGGAATAATGAGGGAGAGAGGCTAAGGAAGGGGAGGGATATTCTTGTCTTTTTTGGAAATAGGCTGAGATCTTCTAGGAACTAGGGTTCTACCTCTTTTTGCTTCTTTCATGGTCTGGTGTTTCTGGACATGGCGGATGATAGGTGGTTGTAGAGGGAAAAAAGAGACTTGGTAAGTCTAGGTCAACTTAACCCTATATTATAGTTCTGGACAAAACATTTCTCAGCTGATCAACATTGGAAAGAACGTCCCCATCTACGTGCAGAGATGAGTAAAATCTGACCCAAAGGTTAAGGCAGCAAAGGCAACAGACACAATATGAAGGCAGAGGTGACAAGCTTTTCATCCTGTTGCAGCCACCCATGGGACCTCGGCAGGCCCAAGGGAAGAGTCAGTGTTTTCAGCAAAAGTGGCCTTCAGGTCCCTGCACAGTAACCTAGGCAACYGTTCCCATCAAAACCCACATGAGAAGTGCTGCCTACAGCAAAGTCAGTAGGAGACTAATAAAGTATCGTCCAGTGGTGTGACCTCCCAAATTAATGATTTTTAAGTTAATTTATAGCAGGTGAAGCTGCAGGGGTTATTCAGGTTGCCTCAGTAACATGTCTTCAGTCATCTCCACCCTGGCTATTCTTAACACACAGAAGCAAGCTGGTGACATCTTTTCAAAACTTCAGGTCATGTCCTTTCTCTAAGTCCTCTAGGACTCCCCATCATGTTTGGAGGAAAAGCCAAGTTCCCCTCATTGCCTTCCAGGAACCCCAGGAGTGGTTCCCGTAACCACCTCCTCTACTGCGCTCCTGGGCCTGTGGGGCCTGCTCCTGCCTCCCTTTTACCTACTGCTTCCGCTGCCTAGCACGTTCCTACCTGGTATCTGCGTGGCCTCCCCAGTCTCTTTCTCTTTCTCTCTCTTGTTGAGAGCCACAGCCTTTTAACACTCTCTCACCTCCTTTACATCCCTGCTCTTCAGTTGTGCCTTCTCCACAAGGCCTTCCCTGACCACTTTATTTAAAATGTCCCCTCCACCCTCACAGTACTCTCTCTGCTTCCCCGCCCCTAGCAGGCACTTCCTTCTCAGGTGCCATGTAATTTATTCCTTTGTGCATTGCCTGTTTCCTCCACTGGAATGTGCTCTCCATAAGGACAAGGATTTTTACTGGCTCTATTTATTGCTGTAATTCAGGTGCCTGCAACAGTGCCTGGTGCAGAGGAGATGAGATCAAATACTTCTAGAATGCTGGAAGCTGCTTGGCCTTGCAAGGGGCTGCTGCATGGTCCACTCCCCTCCCCACCCGTCTGCAGCTGCCTCCCCTGAGGCACCTTCCAGTTCCACAGGCCACTGCTCTGCTTTTCTGTCCATTCCTACTGCTATAACAAAACACCTGAGACTGGGGCTAATTTGTAAAGAATAGAAATTTATTTCTCACAGTTCTGGAGGCTGGGAAGTCCAAGATCAAGGTTCCGGCAGGTTTGGTGTCTGGTGAGGGCTGCTGTCTGTTTAACAAGGCATCCTGTGACTGTGTCCTTCCAAGTGGGTAGGGGCTCTGTCCTCACATGGCAGATACTATCACATTAGCCATTACATTTAAACATGAATTTTGGAGGATGAGTTCAGACCATTGCAGCCGCTTCTAAGCTACTCTTGGGTTCTGGGTTGGGGCACTGTGGCTGGCTCCTGTGCTGGACTCCAATATTGGCATGGGCTAAGCCTTTCTGTGGGGAGCCATCCATGGGCTTCATGTGGGCCACTGAACATGGAGCCGAGTGGTAGGAGCATCTGTGTCTGGGAATGACCAGTGGACCCTTCCTCTGGTTAACTGCCCTGACACATTGTGAATTCCTATCCCKCTCTGCCAAGTCCCCACACAGCACCTGAGACAGGTGTGACCTGCCAAGATGCCAATCAACCTGCTGACTACAAGGTATCCTGAATCAAGACTCTGCCCCTAAACCTTATCCCTGCCTTTGATATACCCCCTTAAATAAACCACTGGAGCCATCTTTCCTTTGTCTACTTCCAGCTGTCATGTGGAATGGACCTATCGGGGGCTCTGCTTTTGTAAATACATTTCTGACTCTTTGTCTTTTGTTCTTCACTAATTATTTCAGACTTTAAGTTCTCAGGTGGCTTACACCCTCCTCCGCAGGAAGAAGAACCCCCCAGTGAGAAACTGGTGGGTCGCTCCCTATATCTTTTTTCCTTAAACTGTGTCATCTCTTGCTTCCTCTTTTTATCCAGCTCTTGAGCTGCTGAGGATCCCAGGGGAGGAAATAATAGTAATTTTATTGGCCAGGTAGGCTAAACTGCAATAACAGTTTGACCAAGAAGGGAAATCTTAGGCTCACTTATTTTTTGTCTATTCTTTTTGTTTCCCTAAGGGCCTGGACTGAGTGAACTAGCTCTGATTGAGATTTCCAGGGGAAGATCCCTTAAAGACAGAGGAGAGACTCCCTTTTCTCTGCATCTGGTGGTCATGTTCTTTTCACATGGCTGCTTTAACGGCAAGGACCAAGGGGCATGAAAGACAGAAAGGTGTGGGTGGGGAGAACTGTGAAGTATTTAAAAATGTACTTGCAAGCTGGGTGCAGTGGCACACACCTGTAATCCCAGCCACCTGGGAGGCCAGCCTCAGCAACTGAGTGAGACCCTATCTCAAAATTAAAAAAAATTAAAAGGGTTGGGGGATGTGGCTCAATGATAAAGTGCCCCTGGGTTCAATCCCCACCACCAGAATAAATAAAAAGCAAATAAAAATGTATTTGCATTATTGATAATGTTAATGACAACAACAACAATGATATGACCAGCATCTATTAAGAACTTAGTGTGTGCCAGACCCTCTTCTCAGTGCTCCTTCCTCAACATCTCCCTCCGTCATCACAATAACTCTATGTGTACTTATTTTAGTCTCACTTCGCATCATGGCAATTGACTGTTAGCCAGGTGAAGGGAGCGACATGGGCCCCAGAGTTGGCAAGTGACACAGCTGGACTTCAGATGCTAGCCAGCACCCAGGGTCTGGGCCTGACCAGTGCACCTCTTGACCTCTTGGCAAYACCCCTCAAGCCATTAGGTCATGGAGGCAAATCATCGTGCTCTGCCACAGTCCTGGTGCCTCATGGGGCTGGAGGGGTCTGCTCTCCCCTTCATGAGCACCATGACCCCAGGTGGGTTGCCCCATGGTGCTCCTACCCTCGGCCTCTCCTCAGAACCTTCTCTCCCTCTGCTTCTGCTTCTCTCGTCTCTGGCCCCACRTATTTCCAGTCTGTTTCCTTCTCTTGGTTTAGCTTTACAAACAAAATATAAATTTAGCCAAGTGCTCATACCACAAAAAGGGAAGAAGGGGCAAGTACCAGCAGCAGACAGAGCCCAGGGTTCACCCTGCTGCTGGGCACATGGGCTTTGAAGAGCGGGCAGGGGAAAGCAGTTCCTCGGGTCTGTGCTCTCGGGCGTCTCCAGCCTGCCCCTCCCAACCACGTCACTCAAGCCAAAGCTGATGTCCCAGGCTCATCCCCCAACAGCAATGACTTTTCCATCAAGCAGAATGCCTGGGGATTCAGGAAGGCCTCCCAGCTCCAAGCTGTTATCAGAGGTCACTTCCTTTGGATTAACTATTGCATGTCTCACTCTAGCAATTTAAGTATCTGAGTTTTATGTGGTAGTGTGGCCGGGCTGAGTGAACTAGCTCTGATTAAGACTTCCAGGGGACAGTGACTTTGATGGGCAAAGGTGAAGGCAGGTGGCCCACGGTGCAGGTCAGCCAGTGCGAGGGGCTGTGAGAGGACTCGAGGCTGCTGTGTCCCTCTGCAGGGGAGGACTCCATTAGCACCTTGGGCCTGATCCTCAGCGTGGGGCTGTCACTGCTGCTCGTGTCCATCCTCGGCTACAGCCTGGCCAAGTGGTACCAGCGTGGGTACTGCTGGGAGGGTAAGTGAGCACTGGTCCCMGTCACCCCAGGTCTGCCCGGCCCCACCTGTCCTGTAGCGGTTGCCAAGGCGGYGGAACTGCCAGCCCTGAAGCACTGYGGGATGCAAAAGTCTTTCCTGTGGCAGTTCCGTGGTGAAGCCTTGACTGGGCAGCTGAGAGGTGAAGTGGCTGGGGTGGGGCCGTGTGACCTTTATTGAAAGAATGGGGGCTCCTCCCACCCCAGCAAACAGCCAGCTTCCCCTTTCTTCATGGCCCACAGGGGTCTCTCCCAGGGGCCTGTGTGGGCCCTCAAGGCYAAGGGCAAGGGACTGGCAGGCCAAGTTCCAGGTGGTCCTGTCTGGCTCCTGGGAGACCCTGCCCCATCCTGGGGCCTCTCCTAAGTGTGCTGATGTTCCGGCTTCCCTGGGAGTCTCCTGGAATTCACTGAGGTGTTCTCAATTCTGGGGACAAATCTGTGCTTTTCACAGGACTCTGGGAAAGTGGGAGGGGCATGATGGAATGACGAGAGGTAGTGAAAATTTCTTAGATCTATAGTAAACTTTAACCCGTGTCTACAAATATTCGTTAAGCACCTACAATGTTTTGCCTAATATTATTCTTTTTAAAAAATTCCACATGAGGACAAAGTTATTATAGCTTCCATTTTTGAAGTAGAGGAGAATGTGAGGCTAAAGTCATAGGGGTGGAAAAGAATGGAGTGGGATTGAAACCGAGGCCTGGTTCTTTTGAACCAGGGTTCTTTTGAACCCTGAGAAGCCTCGGGCCCTCACAYGGCATCCCAAGGCCAAGTCATCTGCTCCTCCAGACAGGGGTGAGGGAGTACCGGATCATTCTGGAAGGGTCCTGACAGTTTCCCTGGAGGCACTAACTCTCTTTTTGGTTGTTTTCCCAGGGCCTAATTTTGTCTTCAACTTGTACCAAATCCGGTGAGTAGATACAGGGCCGATTTGGGTGGGGTGTGCACTGGGGGTTAAGTATGATGAAGAAAGACTCAAAGATGGAGCCAGAACTTACTGTTTCCCTCCCCATCTCCTTTCTGTACCCCTAAGCAAACCAAATAGAATCCACTTAGAAAAGTTCCATGAAAAACTTGAGCATAGATCCTCTTAGCAGGGATCATTCTCAGGCAGGGAACGTCCATCCCTCTATCCATCCACCCATCCATTCATCATTTATTTGGTAAGGTTCTAGTGTGGCCGGTATTGTGGTATGCATTCCTAAGGGGACAAAGATGGCTGGATATTCTCTCTGTCCTCCAGCATTTCACTGTCTATGCCGGRGACAGGTGTGACCATGAACAATGCCATCTTTGGCACAGTATGATGTTAAAAGAGGAGCAATGAAAGAAAGGGAAGAGGGGAGCTGGAGTCAGAAGGTCCTCTTGGGCTGAGTCATCTCATCTATTTCCTGCAGTCCTGCTCCTCCTGGCCCTGAGAAATGGGACTAGTCCTATTCTGGAAGATAAGTCAGTGAGTCAGCTACCTGGCCCCCACAGCCAGGAATGTCTTCCTATGTCTAGACCAGGGATACGCAGCCCCAGRGAGAGGCTGGGTTCTCAGCTCTAGGAGCTTAATAAGATAACCTTTCTCAGGACCCTGAAGGATCTGGAAGTGGGGCCACCCTTCACCATCAGTGGCCATATCAGCAGTCCAGATGGCGGCTACATGAAGTTCTCCAACGGGCTAGTCTRACTGGGGCAGCACCTGGCTTCTAGAGCCTGGGAGAGGTGAGTGAGAAGCTGCAGAACTCCTGAGTGAATCTCAAGTCCAAATAAAGTCCTAAGGGGGTCCAGGCACCCATGCCCAGTGCCAAGGACCACTCACAATTCAGAGATGATTTAGTGCCTTCTTTCTTGCTGGAAGAAGCCTCACTAGGTGACATGGTTTAGAGGAACCTTCTCACCTCTTCTCTYCCCCCCTCCCTTTTCTTTTCTAGGAACAGACTCCTGGCTTAGCTCCTGACCATCCTGGGCTCTCCTGGGCTGCTCTCCCTCTCCTGGGTCCTCAAGACCTGGCCTCAAGACCTGGCCTGGCCTCTGAATGTGGAAGATGAGGGGTCTTCTTTGGACATTTCACTAGCCTGTGACTCTCTCTGAGAGTCCTGAGGACAGTCAGGCCTCTGGGGAGGGACTGGCCAGGTGGCAGCAGCCTTCTCACAGGAACCAGAGAGGCGGCYACGCAGGGAGAAGGACCGGACTCCAGGAGGCCCTGAGCCTGCAGGAGTTGCTGAGGCGTCCCGAGGAGCCAAGCCACACCCCACAGTGTGGGAGGAGCCCCCAGACTCCAGAGGGAGCGCCTCAGGTGGCTGTCCCATCACTTCCTCTTATGGGGTTGACACCAGGGGCTGGAAAGACAGTCCTATCTTCACTGGGCAAAGTTCTATGGAAATAGAGGTGGGACTCCAGACAGGGTTCTTAACCTTCCCATCAGAGGACAACTTCTCTGAAGACGGAGTTCGGCCTTTACTCTGCCCTGCCTCCTTCCATGCTTGGTTCTGGCACTTTCCACGCTTCCCCTGGAATTGCTGCCCTCTACCCGGCTCTACTCCCTGCCCTAGGCCCGCTCTCCCTCCGTGACAGGCCTCAGTGCCTCCCGAATGTGGTTAGCTCTCAATTTTGATTGGTAGTTCTGAGAACAGACTAGAAATGTCCCAGTTGCCTGGGCTCCTGCGCCAGGGTGGGCATGGGGCACAGGGGACAGTATCTCCCAGTGCCCTGGGTTTCCTGAGCCAAGATGGCCCTGGGAAGCAGAAAGTGGTGGAGTGAGGTCGAGGAACCCAGGCAAGGCTGAGCGAAGCAGATAAGAACAAGGGAAAGGAAGAAACAGCTGTCCCCCAAGGACGGCAGGACAATGTTCCTTGCCAGGCATCACTCCTTCCTGTAGCGGGACCTACTGGGCCAGAGTCAGAGCTGGCCCTGGGGTGTTGACTTAGTCWGTCCTTGGTGATGCTGTTGTTCTATCCAGAGGGGCTGAGTCCCCAGGCAGCTGTGGACGGAGCAGGACGTGAGAGGGGATCCTCACATCAGCAGCGGTGGCTGTTGAAACCTGCTGACACAACTACAGCCCTGGCTTCTCTGCCATTAGCAGCAAGGCCACCAGGAGCCCCAGGCAGCTGACTGGGAGGGGGAGAGGGGTCATGTGATTTATCTTCCTATCTTTCTTTTCCTGAGGCCTTGTTTCTTTCTGGTTTTGGGATCTAGCAGAGCAGAAGGAAGGAGAGGCCTTGCCAACCCCTCCCCCCTCACTTCCTGTCAGGGGATTCCTGCCGTCCTCCGGGTAACCAAGCCCTGACTTTATAAACAGAGTCTTTTTGGAAGACTTTCCTGGGTCTTCTACCTCTGACTAGGTGGGAGTGGAGAAGAGCCATTAATGGCTTTGGATTCCCTCTCTTCCTTGAAGGTCTCTTGGGAGAAATGGAGAAAAGGAGACAGATTGACTTTGGCTTCCTTCTTCCTTGGATCTCAGCTCTGAGGACKAGACCCACAGGTCCCCCTACCCACTTTAGTACCAGGCATTGAACCCAAGGAGGCTTAACCACTTARCCATGTCCCCAGTTCTTTTTGTATTTTATTTAGAGACAGGGCCTCACTTACTTGCTGAGGCTGGCTTTGAACTTGCAATCCTCCTGCCTCAGCTTCCCGAGCTGCTGGGATCACAGGCATGCGCCTCGGCACCTGGCTTAGACCCACAGTTTAACCTATAGTGTGTCCATTCCCAATGACGCTTTCAATCCTGCCCTTCTCAGTGTRAATCCGGGGTCTGCAGTCCCTGCAGGGCTGCTCAAGGGTCCCTGAAAGTGCTCGGGACCCACCAGCTTCAGGGACATTTGAAAGGAGGTTGGGGTTCACCCCAGTGGTCCTGGTCCCAGGTCTGGTGGCTTCAGGAGAGGATGCAGGAACAGCTGCTGAGGACTGGGAGAATGGAGGGTATTTCCCATCCTTGGGAGCGGAACTGAGAGTGGGCTGCTTCCTCTTTTGGGGCCCTCTGACGTGCTCCTTGTCCCCTCTCCTCCCCCATCATTTTCCTTACTTCCGCAGGCCCAGCGACCTTTCTTGCCCCCGCCCCCCGGCCCCACCCTAGGACTCCACATGTTTCTGTTGAGGACCCTGAAGGGCCAGATTCCCACTTGCTCATAAATAGGAGAGGAGAACTTCCTAGAAATCAAGGCTGCAGGTCTGTGGGCTGGGCCCTGGCTGGGCGCCCAGCCCTTGCTGTGCCAGGGCCTCGGCTGCACCRTCTCCCTCCCTCTTCACTCCTTCAGGCCATAGCAGATGAGTCGAGACGCATCCTTGGGAGCCTGCRGTTCTGTGGGCTGCCCATTCCCGGGTCCTCTCCTGGTCAGGGCTGTTCCCCAGCCCTGAGTGCCCTCTTATCCCCCACYGAGCCCCTGAACAGTGTGGCTCAGGTCCCATTTTTCCTGCAACTCTTCTTAGGACTCGAGACCAGATGCCACCCCTTTTAATCCTGGTTGTAGAGGGCCGTGTTTGCTCCATTTGTCTTGTTCCCCAACCAAGCTGAGCCCTTTGCGGGAAAGGTTAGGTCCTATAGGTCTCTAGGGGCCCCTAAAACTGAAGCACTTAGAGGTGCTCGATAAGTGCTTGTGGAGTAAAGAGGAAACAGTGAATATAACCTTGAAAGGCGGCCTTGTCCTAGAAGAGGGAACTTTTTGTCCCCGACTTGTTATTGCATTTTGGACATTGTGGCCACCCTGTGACACAGGAATTATGATTGGCCCCACTTTACATATGGGAGCTGAGAGGTTCCAAGAGGTAGCATGCTTTGCCTAAAGCTCCACAGCTGCTCCCTACTGTCTGCACTGGAGCCTGAACAGAGTCTGTGCCTCCTGGGTGCAGCCTGGCCTCCGGGCTTAGTGAGGTGTAAGGATGGAGCCCTGGAGAATAGAGTCTGATTCTGACATTGCCCTGCCATGCTATGTGTCCCTGGGTTAGTCACACCACTTCTCTAGTCATCTATTTAAGCATCAGGAAATCAAAAGACTGTATTATTTCTTCAAGGCTCCTCCTGGCTCTTGTCTTGCTTTTTAAAAATTCTCTGTATTCATGTTTAGCATAGGCGCTGTCACACAGTGGGTGCTGAATAAACAAAAGATGCAAGCACAAAGTATAGTCCTAATGCTCTCATGTATGAGTTGTAGTAGCTCTAGACCCCAGTGGRCCAAGATTCTAACTGCTACTTGGGCATTGCCTGGACTTTGCTGAGATCTGCCCAGGATTGAAGACTAGATGGTTCCCAACCAAGCCACTCTTTCCCTGGAAGGAAAACACCAACCTCTGTGGGGCGGGCACACGTTGGTGCAGGGTGGGGTCTCCGTTCACACATCCTCACTGTAGCCTGCCAACCCCAGGGGTGAGGAAATAGGCTGAGAGCACAGTGAAGTGATCTGCTCGAGGCCTGGAGAGAATTTACTTTCTTTATAACCCTTTGTTGCCCACCTGTACCTTCAGTCCAAGCCAGCAGTGACCCTGAGGTCCTTGGTCCCCAAGAAACCAGCCCCTGTCTTCAGCAGGTCTCCTTTCTGTGTCCACTGCTACCATGAGCAGGACTCTCAGGCCTCCTGGCCCCATCTCRGCTCTGAGCATCTCACTGGCCACTCCTCGTTCTTCCTTTGGTTATCATACCCTCCTAGACCCCGAGGCATCAGCTTCTGCCCCTCCTTCAAGCCAGCTCAAATTCTGCTTCTCCAGGAGCTGCCTCAAAAACCTACAGCTCTTGTTCTCTTGTGATTTGAATTACAAACACTCTCTGGCTTCCATAACGTGATTATTTCCTTGCGCTCATTCATTCTTGCTCTCTCCTATTTGGGGGCCACTTCTTAAGAGACAGACGCAGGCCTGATAGCCCTTCTGAGCTCTCTCTGGAGCCTTGCTTGGTCCTGGCCCTGGGCAGCAACTTCTCAGGAAATCAGGTGGGAAGGYTGCTCAGTTTCTTCAGGGCATCTTACGTGGGGCTTTATGCCTGGCCCAATCTTAGGTGTTCAATTTGATCTCCTCTCCACATCTTCACCCACAGCCAACCCTGTGCTCATGAGCAGATAAACTTCTAGAGAAGGGCACCCACAGATGGTGAGGTCTTCTACCTAAGGAACAACCCAAGGGATGATTAAAACCCTGAGGATCCTGGCAGCTGAGGACGGGCTCTTTTACTCTGGGTTCTCCTTCGAGTCTTCATGGCCTTGCCGCATGGACCAGATGATGGGAACCAGGAGGGCAGTGTGTAGGGTGCCCTCTCTCTGCTCCCAGGGTTTGGGAAACTCAAAGTAGGAGCGCAAAGGAGTGTCAATATTATATTTTTAAAAATTTGCTTAGTGATCAAAAACCATCTAGAATCGGTGATATTTAAGCAGATTTGGTACAAAACAGGAAGCCAGTGGCCTGGTGAATTCTCACACTAGGGGACCAGAAGTGAAAATGTTCTGTGCCCAGAGTAACAGCAGACCAACAAAACAACAGGTGGGGCAGCACCGGAGGCCCACTGGGTGGGTCCTGCAGAGGTGGGGTCGCTCTCCCAAAGCTGGGTGAAGTTTCTCATATCCAAGCAGGGAGCCAGCGGGAGAAGGATGGGTGGGAAACTAGGAAGCCTCATCTTCTGTTCTAATCCTAGTTCTTCCTCTTGCAGTGGCTGGGCTCAGGCTCTCTGGGGCCCAGATGTCTGTTGTGCATACAGCTGCCATTGAACCTGAGGGTCTCAAGCTCCCTTCCAGCTCTGAGGCTATTTCAGAGTATGGATAACCTCAGCTCCACAGTGCTGGGGTCTGGGAAGGAGCAAGTGGAGAACGTGTGTGTGTGTGTATGTGTGTGTGTGTGTGTATGTGTTTGTGTTTGTGTGTGCTTTTTGTGTGTGAGTGTGCATGTTAAAGTGTGTGTCTTTGTGAGTGTGTTGTGAATATGTGTGGGTGTGTCTGTGTACATGTGTATGTGGTGTGAGTGTGGATAAA